TTATATCGCAGAAAAATAAAATAATCGAAATGTAATTTTTTTTACCAATATCGTGCAGCCCTAATCCTCGCTATGTGTTTTCTATACAGAGATATCGACATCGGTAAATATCGGTATCAGCCATAACATCAAAATTAATATAGGTTATCGGTATCGGCCACAATTTTCACATCGGTGCATCACTAAAAATATCTTAATTTGTGTTCCAAAGATGAACGAAGGTCTTACTGGTTATATAATATATAATAACGAGGCAATAATATTGGGTTCAAACAAAGTATCAAAAGCAAGTAATCATATGATGAAATACATAATAAATATAATATAATATACAAAATATATGTTGAGATACATAAGATGATTGTTTATATTATGTACATGATATAGTACAACAAATGCCTGCCGAGGGCACCAATGGCCTGGTGTTGTTACGCTTTACAGCAGATAAAATCCTTTTTTAATTATATTGGCCAAATGACATTAAATTCAAATGTTTACTTAATCTTTAATATTTGGCCACTTCTTTACAATAAAAATGCTACAAACACAGTCATTTCTTGAATACGATTATGTGGACATCAAAATATGCAAACTCAAAAGCATCGATTTAAACTTATTTTGAAATCGCAATAAACAGTTTGCATATTTAGAAACATATTGATGTATTCTGCTATAGGTATATAAATAATTTACCTTACAAATCTGATGAAATGCTGCACATTGCATATCCAGATGAACGTAATAAGCTACCCAAACTCACAGCATATGCAGAGATGGAGTTTGAGATGCGATCTGCGCATGTAAATTGTAACATTCATGTGGAGCAGCATTTACTGTGAACGGTGCTGCTCTGAGACGCACGTGACATACACGCATGGGTTAGTAATAAAAATTAAAGCGCATATACATAAACCCACAGGGCTTTAAAAAAAAAAAAAAAAAGTATTTACTGAAGCCTTTGTAAATTCACAATACCACTATGCTATAGTATAGTTTTTAAATGTTTTTTTTTATACATTGTGCATCCTTACAAAATGGTCTAATAATGCGGTTCACGGATTGTCGTCCGTGGAATGCACCACATTCGGTATTTTACCAGTTACTCGACACGAGTAAATTCCAATCGAGGATTTTTTTTAATCGAGTACTCGAATTTATTTGAGGAATCGTGACAGCCCTACCAAGCATATTTATTAAATTCACCTTCTTCCTCCACCGGCCGTCATAGCCATCAGATAAACTGCACCAGTCTGTGGCATCAAAAACATTGTCTCCTGGGTAAAATTCCTGGAGTTCCTGATAAACAAAAACAAGAGATAACATTTCAAATGAAAATACATTTTTTTAAATAAAAGGTTATTTTGATACACATGGACATGAGATTTCAGCTGTCGTGTTTCCTTTTTAGTGAAATGTAGCCTATGTGGATTACAAAATAAACATACCTGGCCCAAATTAAGACATTCTTCGAGTCCAAATTCTCCAAGAATGTTTTTCACTTTACGTCTTGTTCTGCGGATCTTCTCCAACCCTCTGACTGGAAACTGGTACATGGTCTTACACCTGAAAGAAAATCACTTTGGTTTCCATTCGAATTATGTCATAATTTTGCGATTTTATTTTGATTTCTTGACCAGTCTTGAAAACCTATAGACTAGTTATGCAAGACTACAATGCTCAGTACTTTGCTCAGCCTAAAATACTTTGCTGTTAAACCCTTAATAAGAGTGAATCAAAATTATTAAATACTTGCATAATCCTTTAGAAAGAATCCCAAATTATGAAATCCCACTTTTAAGTATAACTTAACTAGTAGTGGTATCATGAAAACAGCATATAGTTCATATACCTAAAAATAGATGTAACATTGGTGATAAATACTTCCACTTGCATAATTCAGGACAATTTAATAAAAATTAGAATTTCACAACAACATGTCATATTTCAGCCCCCAAAAGAACATTATGATTTGTAGTGATTTTTATCTCATGACAATTACACATAGTCTCCCTCCCATTTTCATTACTGTCATGCCAATGTGGATTTACTTTTGAAGGTTTCTTCTATAATTGCTGTTATCCTCCCAGTGTATTTAAAAAATGCGATTTTATATATTCCCCACCTGGAAGTGTAGGCTATTTCAGGCATTTTAACTTAATAATTGAATTAGTCAATCTTACCAAATAGGCGTGTTGCCTGTGTGCAAATTTGAAATATCTTGGAAATTGTCACTTTTGACTGGATTCATTTCTGGAAGGTTTTAACATTCCAGAAATGAATCCATTATATATAATCATCATCATTACTCACTTACGAATTTGGGGAGAATCGTGCTTAATTGTAATGAAAAGAAGTGCAAAAGGGCATTGCCTCTCCATCATTTTCTTTTGGGTACATTTTTTAAAGTCGTATGATGTTCTTAATAGGTCATAAAGTGCTTCACATCTCAGCCTGTTGAACAAGCAGTGATGATACAATCTGATGAATTCAGTTCCACAGCAAATTATACAACACCTCTATAACGTTATCTCAAACTTCGTATTCAGGAATGTTAGAAATCAACACGCTATTACCCAACTATATTTAGTGATATGGCAGATATTGTGTACGAATGCAAGACAAAATATCACATCTCAGCCATGCATCACTCAAATACCACACTTTATGACAGCATACGTTACATTGTCATATAGCCTATGTGCCAAAGCGAATATCAAATTCAAGCTGTAATTATTTATTTATTGCAAGCATCAACTACGACCGGTGACCAAACATATCCGCGCCCGCCAAAGCACACTAAATCTCGGAAACATTAGAGACAAATGTAACTCTAAACTAGCCAGATGTAATTTACCCAGCGCCCCGCATCAATAAGAATTCGACAGGAATGATTCCACATCGCAGAACAACTGATTCCCTTCTAGAACGCGCGATTCTAAATAACGCAGTGATGTCATAAAGTAACCTCTTCACAGCTCTCGGCTAATGGGCTTCGTCGTTCTACTTCCTGATCATACCGAACCCGCAACAACTAAACGCAAAAGCTAATGTTCCCGCTGCTATCTAATTGTGAGGACATTACCTTTTTTCACCGCCACACAGACGCAGGGAGGGGATTTAGCTACTTTCACCAATCCGCGTGCTTGCCAAAACCGATGATAGAAGACGTGGAAGCGGTGTAGGATGTTGAAATAATAATTCTGCGCTCTCAACTATGGAAACCAGCAATGAAAAGTATTTATAATTTTTTTGCAAGTAAGACTCATTTATTGTGCTTGCCGTTTAGAGTCGAGAAAATGGCGCATTGAACAACTGGGAAGTGACGTCAGGGCATAATTATCATACTGTGTGCCTGGCCAATCGAATTTTAGTATGCTTCAAATGGAAAAACTTTCTTATATATCACTCCTGGTGGTTTTCATGGGTAACCACTTGGAGTAGTATATACAACTTTTAAGTTGGGACCTAGTCTGGTTGTGGTTATTTTCAGTCTTTCAAATATTCATCATGATAAGGCACTTACTTAGAAGTGGTCTGGTCATGAGGGGGCGCAGTTACTTGTAATTCACAGGCATAGCCACTAGATGGCAGCTTGAACAGACAGCTCGTTGCTATGCAACAGCACAAGAGAGGAGGGGTTTTGTTGCTGAAGTCATATCACACCACTAGTCTTCACCCAATGGGTAATAAGTAACAGATACTAGCAAAGACATATAAAAAACGGCTTATAGCTACTTGCAATGACGGGGCATGAATTTTTTAACAGTTCACTTCTGTTTTTTATTTCATGACAAAAAGTTACTTTAGACAACACATGAGCATCCATTTTTGAAAGAGCTGATCATACATTCCGTTCGCATTTTTTAAATTTAAAATTAAGTTCCAATCTAATGTAAAAAAAATATTTACAAATAATGTGTGTGCAAATTTGAGCAATCGTGTTTTTTTAATTCAATGACCTGATAACATTTCAAACAATGATTACTATGCGTCGTAAATTAGTTAAAATTGTTTTTTTATATCGCCGATCAAAATTTCTTTAAAAGATCTTCTAAAATCAGTGCTAATTTTGGAAATTTCTGCAATTCTATATTGTACGTGAAATAAATTTCATGTTCAATGTTTTAGAAAATTATTTAATGTTGTATTAAAAAAATTCTAACTATTATATAATTATGGACAGATTTTCATTCAAATGTTAAGCAAATTCAAGCGTCACCATTCCACTACAAAAACATAGTCCATAAATAAAACGGCATAGTCACACTAGGCTTGTGCTTCATTCTCTTCTTTTAACATGTATGAGAGCAGAAACGCGAGTGTGCGAAGAAGTTGCGTATTTGGCTGTGGACCAAAGCAGTTTGGCAAACCCCATCTAGCTAATTCATATTGAAAAACATTTGACAAACAATTGAACTAAATGTCACTAACTGACCTCTTAACACAATATAATATACAATGCAAAAGATACAAATGGCCTTTATGGGTGCTGTTACTTTGATGTGTATTTGTCTTGTTTCTATTTGTATTTATTGATTTATCTTTTTATTGCCTGTGTATTCTGGTCACATATGGAAATGTTAACCTTGTAATGACTTATTTGTACAATATTTCAACACTGTATTTTGTTTCTTCCTCTGACAGAAATGACAATAAACCACTTCACTTCACTATACTGTATTGAACAAGCAATCAGCATCCAGTATCAGAACTATTTGTTTTACACAACGCAATCTTTGATTATAACTGGTAGTTATGCATTGGTGGATAAACAATCTTTAATCTTCAGACAAAAACATTCTTTTTTTTCTGTTTTTGTCTGGGGGGGTTTCTGCAATGGCAGAAATGTTTTCTTATGAACTTACAAGCCAATGTTTTTCTACTAGTTTTAATACTTTTGTCATGGCCTTGATTGTTTGGTGTAAAATGTGTCCTTTAGATAATCATAAATCAGGATCCAAGGTGTCTTACCAAAATATAGAAGCATAAGTAGTCAAAGATGGATTGTATGAATGGGAAATTTATTATCAAATTGAAGTTAATTTCACACAGTGCATTCCACAACATACAAATTACGATTATTATAATCAGTTGTTTTTAACATGTCTTTTTCTTATCTGGAGATGATCATGGACCTTCAAGATCTTTGGCAAAGTAAGATGAAACCAGTTCAGAATGTGAAATGTGTAACCATTCTCCGGATACAAAAGTTGCATGGACTGTAAATACTAAATACTATGCTCCGAAGTTATGAAGAGCTAATCGGAACATGTCGTTGGTGCAGACCCATTTGTTATCTACATTCTTCAGCAAGAAGACCTGCTGAAACCCCATAACTTGGTCCTGATCAGCCTGTAAAAATACACAAAAACAATATACATTCATGATTTTTTTACAGCCTACACTGTAAGACATTTATAATAATAAATAACTATTTATAATTATGGTAGCTTGTTTCTGCCACTGAAAAAAAAGGAAAAAAGTAATTGCAACTTTTTATCTCATAATTCTGGACTTTTATTATGTAATATTGAAGAGCTGACCACGTTCATGTAAACTGAGGCACCTACAAAGTGATCTGTCACACAACATTAAAGAGCGTCAAAACGGAATTTATCGTTTGAATTTCGTGATAAAATGGACATAACTTGAAAAATTAGTTTCTTATCGAAAGTAACAAAATGCGGAGCTTCTAGCGATTATTGGTGGTTAATGGTGGATAGGCTACAACACTGTATTCGTCTTGTACACAAGACACACGAAAAATTTGCGGAACAAATACGTGTACCGTTACAACCCTAAGAACTATTTAATCAAATGTCAAGGAAGAAAAATATGTTTTGTGACAAATTAAAGTGAGGTCAACTTCAACAATGGGCTAGGGCTGGGCGGGCGTTTGATACGCCATGAGAGTATCGTGATACGTACTGCGGGTGGTGTATCGCAGTTTTCCGGTTTGAAAAAAAAAATATATATATATATATAGGCTAAGTCGGTACTGAAATTTTAAAATTGTGACACTTAGGCCGTAAACACCTCAGATTGGGCATTGTGTTCACACGCTCATCAGATATGTCTGTGATTGGCTACAATGATCAACGCACGGGAGCGTTTGAGAGCACACGGAAGCGTTTTAAAAAACGGGAGCGTTTGTAGCCAATCATATCGGATGAGCGTGTGAGTACAATAGGCAATCGGAGGTATTTACGATTCCGCCAAACAGCGCTCAAAGCATCAAATTTTTTACATTTCAGTACCGACTTGGTTCCGAAGTCGGTACTTTTTAACAACTAATATATATATTTTATATATATATATATATATATATAATAGATTTTTTTCTCACAATTTTGAGTTTATAATCCACAATTCTGACTTTTTGAGATATTTTCAGAATGAAATATAAACTCACAATTGCAAGTTATATAGTCCATATTGTGAGAAATAAACAAACACTTGCTAGAAAAAAAGTCAGAACTTTGAGATTAACCCTTAAGAACCCGATGTGACGTGGGTGTCACAAACACTAATGATCATTGGAAAAGTTTTTTTTAAACGATTATACCTCACTTTCAACCCAGGAAGTCCCTAAGGGACATATAAGGAACATCCAGGTTCAGTCATGTGACAATGTGTGCATTTTTGTTGCCATGGTAACATTTCCAAAATGGTGGTCTGTCTTGTGTGCACATGTTGCAGTGTCAGCACTTTTTAAAGATGCTTATTTTTGTTACTAAAGGTATGTTTCAACCCATGCAACAATTCTAATGTTTTAATAACATATCCTAGATTACACTTGACTTGATTTTAAAACGTTTCTTGTACAAATTGATATAAAACAAGTTTTGCAAATGTTGTTGTGACATATGTGTCACATCGGGCTTTTAACAGTAAAACAGTAGGTGGAATTTTGATGTGACGTATGTGTCACATTAAGAAAAATGCTAATGAACTGCTCAAATAATTTAGCTGATTCAATTATTTTAGTATTATATATATTCTGCTGCTCAATTCAAAGCATATTTTAAACAAAAAAATGTCAAATTAATAACATTGTTAAAGGGTAACTAAGCCCCTGATCAGAGCCTGACTCCACCCACTGGCAATATTTGAAAAATGCTGTAAAAGTGGGCAGAGCCCAGCGGACGGAGGGGCGTGCACCTGAGACGCATCTCTCTGTAGGCATGGGTGTGGTTAGCTGGTGCCTGCTTACCTCACAGGGCACCACAAATTGAAAATTCAACTGCAGTAGCCACCGTTCAACCTGAAGAGGACAGCACTCAGATGTTTTTACACCATATATTGTAGAATTAAAACACTTTATACCCAAATGTCTAAAAAATGACTTGAATCAATGAACAGCAATAATAAAGCCCCAGTCTTACAGATCATTAACTAAAGAAAGTTGGTTTAGGGTTTACCCTTTTATGAAATGTATTTTGAAAATATGTTGCATACCTGTAACTAAAACAGCTATGCAACATATGGTACAAAACACCATATTTATTGTTATTCAGTTTGCACATTTTCGCGTTGTGAAAAAATAATCAAAAAATGTATTTCTGGTTAAACCGTATACCTGAAAAGGTAGAATTTTGCAATGTTATTGCACTACATGCATGTTCAACATGTTGACCTCCGGTGTGAGGTAGTTATTTATTTTTATTCATTTTGCACATTTTCGAGTTGTGAAAAAATAATCTAAAAATGTATTTATGATTAAACCGTATAACTGAGAAGGTTAACTTTTGAAGTTACAAAACAGTTGTTGTAAAATGTAATGGTCACAGTTGTGTGGTTTTGAAATATGTGGCAAAGCAAATAAAATGCAAAAACTATTACTTCTGAAAAAAAAATTTTTTTATTTATCTTCACAGAAAAGTAATAATTTAGAAAATGTTGTGGAAAAGAAAATAAACAGAAAAAAAATGTTATTTAGCAAGAAAACTGACCAAATTATTTTTTTCCAAATGCATCATAAAAGCCCAATGTGACATATATGTCACATTAAAAATGCACCATAAACGCCCAATGTGACATATATGTCACATTACAGATCTTTGACAAGGAGTGGTTGTTTTTAAAAAACAACGGCAGAAACATGTTTTAAGTGGTCCAATTAGTCTGTTTTATATGCCCCATAATTTTCCTATAAGGGGAAATTGGTCCGGGTTCTTATGGGTTAAAAGCCACAATAACGTTTTTTATTTTTTTATTAAAATCCCAGAGAACCGGAAGTTGCAACCGACTTTACTTCAGTGGAAACGGAATATTGAATAGAGGGCGGGGTTTTACTTTAGCCCACCTCCTCTCCATCCTTCACTCATTGCAGACTAACAGTAGGAGGGGAGTGGTTAAGGATATTCAACCCAAGCCAAACTGCATTCCAGAGCGGAAGCAAATTTTCAGATTTTGATTAAAGATTACCACAACAAACAAGTGTATTAACTTCCACGGATTAATTGTTCACCACAAGATGTGTTACCGCTTACAATGGTAAATAAAAAATAAATAAATAAATATGACGACTTTAAACAAGCTCCCATATATAATATCACTGGTTTTGAAAGGTATTAAAATGTGCCATTTTCTTTGAACAAAAAACAAAGAATTAATCAAAATTTTGACAAACAAACAGTTGCCTGATGAAACATCTGTTTTAATAAATGCAAACTCTGATCACATCTTACTTTGAGCTGGCCCATGACCATACTCATGACACAGCTGTCTGGAGTCGGGTGATGGTCCTGAGCTGTGATGATGTGCTGAATGCTCTGGAAGGGAAGGCTCTGCAGATAGGCACATTCTGTTAAACTTAGAAAGACAACTGTGCATATGACTGTAAAATAAAGTAACTTACAGTTAGTTTGGTCATGATTGCGGTCTTCCCTTGAAATCCCTCCCCCTCCCATGTCAAACAGGAAGCATCAGTCTAAAGGAGAAAAATATATATCATAATCAGGCATACAAGCACAGAATGGCGTAATAGTATAGTAAGAGCTAAAGCACAAAACAGATGGATTAAAACAAAATAATTCTGGTTTACTAAACTTACACTCATCGCGCGAGATAATGAGGTTCAATGACAGTCATTTACTCGCAATAATTCACTTACATATAGGTCGGCGAGCTTCACGCGGTCTGAATCAAACTGCTGATAATAGTGTTGCACGAATCCGCTGCCGATTTGCTCCCACATCGGTTTCTCTGCCATTGTTTTTAACCGTATAAAGCTCCCGCGCAAGTTTGAACAGAATATTCCACGTGTAACTGAAACTGCAAAAAAAAAACCACTGAAGATTAGCTGTTTGGTAAAGTTAAACGAACGTATATTAATTCGTGATTTTAGATAACATCGTGTGTAAAACATTATTGCTGGAGATATTATTTTTAAACTTACATGACCACCTCAGTGTGATGGCACGCTACCTGAGCTGAATAGCTTCGCGCCTTATGGCCGGAACAAGAAGTTACCGGCAGATCTGAGATCAGCTTTTAGCCAAAGACTGTAAAAAAAAAAAAAAAAAAAAAAAAAAAAAGCTTTTAGCAGAGTACATGAATCAGTGGAATTCAGATGTTGGGAAATTTGATTCATTTTTCAGTCTTATAAAATAAATGCAGAACTGACACTTTCTGAGAATTTGTATTACGATTATACAAATGAACATAAAAAATAGACATTTATTCACATTTAAAAGTGAACTACACTTTTTACAGAATGTTATAGTGTGAATTATGGTTAACAAAAGTACACTAAGAATTAAAAACAGGGAAAATACTTCACTTATCTACATCAATATTAATAAGTAAATTAATAATATTATGACATAAAGCCAAAAAATAGGAAACAATAAATATGTAGACAGAATTTTTTTTTTTTTTTTTTTTTTTTTTTTTTTATATCAAGATTTACATACAAACATGGCTGCATAAGTTCCTTTTCTTCAGAATAGAATACAAAGAAAATATAGCCAGAGGGAGCAGCTCTTAATACAAAAAAAGAATATAAATGTCTTAGTACAAAAATATGGATGATTTGTAAGGAAGGAAACATTTAAATAAATAAATGGTAGAAATTTTAACATAACATAATAACATAAGGGGTGAATTCAGTCTTTGTTCAGCCATTTATCTCAGTTGGGAAGTGTTTTAGGGTATCATATTTTTTGTGCTTTAGGACCTTTCAGAGTTTTAAAGGATTTTATATACAGTTTAAATTCATTTTTTTTTTTTAAAAACAAATTTGGGAGATGATTTCACAATTCTACACTTGTGAATGAAAAATGTAGCTAGACATACAATTGTATTAGTACACATCTCATCACCCTTGCTTTGCAGCATCAATCCAAATGTAATGTCGTCTCTGGAGATAGAGGTTGGGAATGAAGATATCTGCTGCTTAACCCATTTATGTATATCACACCAAAATATCTATATCACATTACAGTCCGTAAACACATGGTCCGTAGTTTCAACATCATTTTCACAGAATGTACATGTTATCATCTATATGTAGACAGAAAATATATAAATAGAGGAATAAATATTTAGCTGTACAGCATGAAAAAGTGATTTTGCAAAAACTCAAAAATAATTGACCAGATATAATATAATAATTAAACAGGTATCGTGTGCATGAGCCAAAAGTGAATGGATTGGATAGACATTGAATAAATATGCGTTAACTACTGAATAGACATTAATGTAGTAGTATACTTTATTGTCCTCGAAAGGAAATTTGTTGTGTACTACATGTTGCTGCATAGATATATAATAGACCGATAGACAAACACTAATAACAATTGTAAAAAAAAAAATATATATATATATTATCAAGATAAACACTTATTCAACATTCGCGCAGATACATGGATATGTACAAAAATGAATATAACAAGAAAATGGTTGGAGCCTGACCATTACATTTTATGTGTAATAGGATTCAATTACTATAATAATTGTATAATATATTGTATTTAAATCCTGTGAAATGTACTTATCATGTGTTTTGGTGTGAAATGATAATTTCAAGCTCAATTTACAAAGAGTAAATTATCATTATAATAAAAATAGATGACAGGACTTTTAAAAGACTTTTATCATGCCATCATCATTTCTGAAGTCGTTCTGAGATCTCCTGTCCATCGATGATTGCATGCAAACCATTCAGTTAAGCCAAGACGTGCACTTAAAAATACATATAAAGACATTTTTGTTTATTTTATAGTTATATTAAAAATTAAACCACAAGTCAATATATCAGACAATTTATTTCTAGAGAATATCTACCAGGCGCATAAAGGACAGCTATTAATTCGCAACTGAGTTGGAGGCAGTTCCGTGTTGTCTCGCGGATGTACTTACTGTTATTGTAGAAGTTACATTGTTTAACCATGTCTGGGTCTCAAGGAGTCACTGCTTTGTGCGAAAATCCTAACGAGGTGTTTTTGGATGTTTCTAAATTGCTTATTACATACGCGGACAATATTCTTAGGTAAGTTAAGTTTTCCGGAGACATTTCAGAGAGAGTCCCGGGTGGAATGTTGTTATGCCTGATTACTGGAAATGACAGTCTCTTCTTTATGTATGTTGTCCATAGGACAGTCTGTCCAACCATCTTGTTTTTTGATTCCCTATCCTACATCCATCATATTGTGTGCGACCTCTAAGCTACTCATTATTTCTATGGATTTACATGGATTTTATTTTCTTCTTTCAGTTTTTAGTTTGATCTTGTGCATGTGTGTTTTGTAGGAACCCAAATGAGGATAAGTACAGATCAATCCGTATTGGAAACCCAACATTCTCCAGCAAGCTTCTGCCTGTCAAAGGAGCAGTTGAATGTCTCTTTGAGATGGGATTTGAGGAGGTTGGTAAGCAAATAAAGTTGCCTTTATGGTTTCAAAGCATCATCACATGTTTTATGTGCTATTTGTATGTGTCGTCATTAGGCTGAAACCCACTTGGTGTTTCCGAAGTCAGCATCTGTGGAGAGGCTGAGGCAGGTGCGGGAGACTATTGCCACTGAGAGAGACCAGAGGCTTGGTGTGAGCAAAGCTGCATCCAACCCACAAAGTGCCAGAGTTCCTCCAAATCCTGCTCCACCACCAGTACCCGTACCCTCCTCTCCTTCTGCAGGCCCTGCGTCTGCCACTGCAGTCCCTACGCCTGCACCAGCTGCTTTACCTTTCACTGTGAGTTTATTTTTTCTTCCTACTTCATATTTTTCATTTTATAGGGTTAGAGTCCTACTTGTTTTATTTTAAAGAGATAGCTCACCCAAAATGAAAATTCTGTCATTAATTACTCGTTCTCAACCTGCTTGATGCATGAGAACAAACCTTATTGGTTCTTGCGGAAGCTCAAATGTGCTGCGTAACACGAGAATGAACCTTGTAATGCTTGAGCTTCCGTTTACCACAACTGATGTGTGAATTGATGAATGCTGTATGAATAAAAGCCTAAATTCAATCTGTTCATCATATAAAGCGGTCGTGTCTCTTCAGAGAATTTGGACTAAACCACTCAATTCAAATGGATTCGTTTTACAATATCTTTATGAAACGTCAAAGTGGTAGTTGCGTAGCTGTCAATAGAGGGACAGAAATCGCTCAGATTTCATAAAAAAGTTATTTATTGGTGTTCCGAAGATGAATGAAAGTGTTACGGGTTTGGAACGACACGAGGGTGAGTAATTTATGACAGAATTTTCATATTTGGGTGAACTATCCCTTTAAGGATGTTATCATAAACTTTGTGCACCACCAATTATAAGAGCAAAATTAATAATGGGGAAAATAAATGGTTTGAAGACTGGCATCCTTTCTCTTTTTGTTTTCTGATGTATTAGTCCAGCAGCGTGACATTCTTTAGGACTGTACAGTCAAACTTCCAACATGTGATGATATACGAGAGCCCTGAACTGCAGCAGAAGGCACTGAACTGCATACCTCATGAAGTGCTCAGGTCCAGGGCTAAAGAACGCCTGAAACAAGCCGAGGATGCAGATCCAGGTTAGCAAGACATGAAATCACAACTCCGAATTAACACAGATACTTGTAAACGAAATCAGATTTATTTACATTTAATTCACTTTTCATGACGTTGGATCAACTTTCCTTTTTAAACCGGAAGAACAAAATGGCTAAAAAAACAAAACATTTACCCTTAATAATACTAAACATGAGTGCTATTGTTGTTTTCGTTGATGTGCAACCTGTCTGTTAACATCTCAAAAAAATGTTTTTTTTTCTTTGACATTTTGAACAATATGTTTAAACTAATTTATTCTTGCATGAAATAAAGACTCTAGTCCAGATTATCAGAAGCTGACTCATGTTTCTGTGTTGTGTTCCACTTACAGCGTGTAGTTTATGTGAGGAGGACATGTTAGTTCTAGACCTGTTGCAGTGGTTCAAAGGGGACTTCTTTTCCTGGGTGGACAGTCTGCCATGTAGCCGGTGTGGAGGTGGAACCCAGCCTTCTGGATCCCTCCCCCCCTCAAGTGATGACCTACGCTGGGATGCAGGCCGTGTAGAGAACCACTTCTGTCACACCTGCCAACTCTCCAATAGATTCCCAAGGTACATCTGCTTTTTCATTCTCATCAAGAAGTTGCGCTGTTAATGATGTTGATGGTCTAGTATCTTTGCATTGAATTCTATGAAGCAATTTTCTCTGTATTCTCTGTTAAATTAATAAATGAGCATTGAGGGATAGTTCACCCAAAATGTACTCATACTTATGTCATTGCAAACCTGTATGACTTTCTTTTCTCTGTGGAACACAAAATCATATATTTTTATGTTTATGCTGCAGACATAATTATATAGTGACATGGGGCTGTTAAAGGGCAGGGGACTGATGCAAGACTTTCATTCACCTTCGGAACACAAATGAAGATCTTTTTGATGAAATCTGAGAGATTTCTGTCCCTCCATCTACGCTCAAAATACAAAATATTAATCTCTAACGTAGATTCACAAGAGCGCCACGACGCATGAGTGTTGTGTTGACTCAAGAGCAGACGCTTTTGCCTGAACGCGTGTTGGAGATGATTTGTAAATAAAGTGGTAAATTCATTTTTTTGCGCAAACAAAGCAATTCGCGTCACTTCATAAAATTGAGGTTAAGCCACTGGAGTCACATGGATTACTTGGGCTGCATTTACACTGCAGGTCTTGATGCCCAAATCCGATTTTCTGACTATATCCGACCCGCTTACATCATCTTTTAAAAGTGACCCGTATCCGATTTTTGCATTTACACTATACACTGCTGAAACTACCAAATGTAGACGTTCTGACCCGGAAAAGGAAGTAAAACAGCACGAAATGCAATGGATGCAGATGCGAATAAAATTATCCAGTGTTTTGCTTTCGCTTTGTATTTGTTTTTTAAGCTTTTTATCTTACTTTGGCACACGAGCGCTTAAAACCGTGCCTCCCCATATCTCGTGAAATGTCTTCAAACTCGGATTTATCTCTGTAACAACTCTGCATTTTTGCCTGCACTGTCTCTTCGCCCCAAACACTCAAAAGACATGAAACCTCCGCATTGCTCCACTGTGTGTATCCTTCGTCCTCCATCGCGCCTATAATAAGTCGATCTCAGTTGGTGGTGTCCACCTGAGTTGACGTAACTTTTTTAATGACGTACATTTCGCATTTACGCAATTTACTGGGTAATATCCGATTTGTCTGCTTACATGGCACACGCAAATGCAGGTATCCGATTTATTACCACATATGAGTGAGGCCTGAATCCGATCTGAGAAAATCGGAATCCATGCGTTTTTTTCCTGCTTACACGTTCATGGGTCATATCCGATCTCTGCCACATAAGAGGAAAAAATCGGATTTGAGTCACTTGAACCATGCAGTGTAAATGGGGCCTTAAAGATGTTTTTACTACCTTTCTGGGGCTTCAAAGTGTTAGTTGTGTAGGCTGTCAATGGAGGGACAGAAAGCTCTCAGATTTCATTAAAAAGATATTCATTTGTGTTCCGAAGATGAACGAAAGACTTGCGGGTTTGGATTGACATTAGGGTGAGTAATTAATGAAAAATTTCATTTTTTTAAAGCTCCAAAAAACTACCACAAAACTAGTCTATGAATCTGTATGCTGTGTTATAAAATAGGTTTGTGTGAGGAACAGATCAGTATTCTCTAAAAACCCGTCCTCTCCATGACATTGTTATGGTGCTTTGGTATGGAAAAGAGCAATGTTATTCATGTCATTACTGCAAATTCACATTACTTTTCCTTTCTGCACAGGTACAATAACCCAGAGAAGCTTCTGGAGACCAGGAGAGGGCGCTGCGGGGAATGGGCCAATTGTTTCACACTGTTCTGCCGAGCCTTAGGCCTTGAGGCCAGATATATCTGGGACAGCACAGGTAGAAATCTTACAGCTTTAAGGCGCTAAAATACTCCAAGCAAAGCTCTTTTATTGTCTTTCTCTTATGGGTAAAAAGAAGCATCCTGTGCTGGGAGCCTCATTTATATAAATGTGTAAATATATGCTGCACGCTTTCCACTCAATAACAAAATAAACGCATAACAAAAAGTGACAGTGACAAAACAGAAAACAGCAGTTAAAAAAGCATCTGATCACCAACTCTGCAGTTCACGTTTATTTGAATAACACTTTATACAAAAGCTTTAAAGGGTTAGTTCACCCATTTAAGACATGAAGTTGTATGCAATCCTTACCAGCAGCACTATAGTGCATACACACTGACCCACTCTGTTGTCACCTCCCTGGTCAGAGTTCTGGCCGCTGGAAGTTTTTCAATGAAGTACTCCCGGTTATTTTCCGGGGTCACAAAACTGTGCGTTTTTACGTGAAAAAATGATTTGCGTTTCAAAGCTTGATTAATTTACCACACAAAAAACACGGCGGTCAAAATTCATACCTCAGTTTTAATCGGCACTATTTTCTATCCATTTCTATCAATCCGCGCTGCTGTCAATGTCAACAGTGCGCACGTTCCGATCAGCTGTTGAAAGCGCGACTCACTGACAACATGTCTGACTGCGAAACTTCTGATGATGAAACCAATTTTAGCACAATGTCAGACGGATCGGATGATGAAAGTAATTTTAGCACAACGACAATGTTATTGATTGCAACACCAAACCTCAATTGTGTGTGTGTTCAATCAAATAGTTTTCTCAGCAAATTGTACCAATATCCCTATAGGCTATACTGTTTTTATATTAGACATCTTTTCACGTGTTTTATAATGGAGTCTAACGTTAAACATCAGCTTGTTTACCGTACAGTTTAGACATGGGATCATAAAGTTAGTAAATAGAGCTTACCCGTGGTACTGGTACAGCAAAACGCTTTAATTTTCCTTTTCCTCCTTGGTTGTAATCGTCTTCGCTGAAGTGAGCACTACACACACGAAAATCCTTTATTCCGGACTGGATATTTTAGCTCGCACAGAGTAGCCGATGGCAACCAGCCAAAGCTGTCTCATAGTTCTATTCGAAACAGGAAAACGATGGAATCTGAACTTTGATCCCGGTACATCGTTGTGGTCATAGCCTGGGAATTTACAAGTTCTCACCATTGTTAATCTAATACTTTTTACGTCGTCGATCGATTGTGTAAACACTATGGAACAGCTGATCGGAACGTGCGCACTGTTGACGTTGACAGCAGCGCGGATTGATAGAAATGGATAGAAAATAGTGCCAATTAAACCTGAGGTATGAATTTTGACCGGCGTGTTTTTTGTGTGGTAAATTAATCAAGCTTTGAAACGCAAATCATTTTTTCACGTAAAAACGCACAGTTTTGTGACCCCGGAAAATAACCGGGAGTACTTCATTGAAAAACTTCCAGCGGCCAGAACTCTGACCAGGGAGGTGACAACAGAGTGGGTCAGTGTGTATGCACTATAGTGCTGGACTGGTAAGGATTGGATACAACTTCATGTCTTCATGTCAACAAATGGGCGAACTAACCCTTTAAAGGAAGCCACTTACAGTATTAAATATGAAAAAACAATGTCAGTGTCGCTTTCAATAGACCAATTTCCAGCCGACGTCACAGTTACGTCACAGCGCTAGCTGGTGGCAGAACAAAGGGAAAACTGGAGGCGGTGAATACAAACCAGCACAGATTCGGCTACAAAATAAGGATCTTAAATTATTCTTATTATTATTAAATGTCATCTTGTTGTGTTGTTGGGTGCAAGAATCAATGAAACATTAATATGCTTTATCTGCAATTTTTTATTTCTAGAAAATATTCACCTCATTAAAATTGCACCGTAATGTCACTCTTTACATTGTCGTCTTCATGGCGCTGGCTAGGCAGAACTGCGGATCGTACACACACGTCTTGCACATCACCATTCAGCACATAGTTATAGGCATCTAAAGATTTATATGCCCTCCGTTTCTCTATCAGGTTGGTGTAGATGTCAGGCCACTCAACCGGAGGTAGCGTTAACGTTAATCCTGTCAGATCCTCAATGAGTGTACGGGTCAGCCAATCTGGTTCCGTCCGTTAAAATTAACTTTTGCAAATAACAATCGCGGTCCTGGACAGTGAGTGACCTTGCACATTAAGATAAAATCGGATTTTCTCCAGTCATTGTTAAAAACAATCTAACCAAATTTGCCGACTTTACGTTAGTGAAGTGGCCAGAGGGATCGTTCTGCCACCACCTAAGCTCCGCCCACATAAAAACGTCACCATGTTTACCAACTGAAAATTGGTCTATTAGAATTACAACTTTTATAGTACAACAGTTTGTACCTACCTATTACATAATCGCCACGGATAAATGGTATTTCGAAGGGGTTTACCAGCCAGAGCTAACTTTTCCAGGAAGTTTGCTTTGGCAAGCTATCGAAATCCCGAAACGAACTCCAAATGAACGTCATTTTGACCGGATTAGTTTGAAATGAAGTCACATCAGTTAATTCTTCGATTTTGCTTGAAGTACTGACTATCTGGGCCTTTACTGTACCACAATGATATCATTTGGGAATAGAATCACAAAGTTTTGTCCTGCTTTCAGATCACGTGTGGACGGAGGTGTATTCTCAGTCACAGCATCGCTGGCTACACTGTGACCCTTGTGAGAACACATGTGATAAACCCCTCCTGTATGAAGTCGGCTGGGGGAAGAAACTCTCCTACATCCTGGGCTTCTCTAAGGACCAGGTTGTGGATGTGACGTGGAGGTACTCCTGTAAACACCCAGAGGTCCTTTCCAGACGCACACAGGTTCAGGAGACATGGCTGCTTCATACGATTAACAAGCTCAATGCTGCGGTCAGTTTCTCATTTTCATCCCGTCACCCAAGTACAGCTCCTTTCATCATTGCCTTGAAAAAATGTATCTGACTGTCACTGTGTACAACTCCATACCTGTAGAGGCAGCAGTCTCTGGGAGAAGAGAGGAAGAAGCAGTTGTTGCAAAGACTGTTGGTGGAGCTGGTAGAGTTTATTTCTCCCAAGACCTCTACATCTGGAGAGCTGGGCGGTCGGGTCTCAGGTTCTCAGGCTTGGAGAGCAGCTCGAGGGGAGACTGGTACAAGCAACTCTAAAGGGGTGAGATGCTCAACTGGAACACAATGTTTTATTACTGGTTATGCCATTGGAGTGATTTCAATAAATGAATAGACAGACACACACACACAGGGTAAATTAACTTGCTTTAGTTTTTATGTATGTTTCCTCCCAGAATGCACAGGAATGTGTCTTCATTCCTTCCGAATCTGAGAAGCAAAACAAGTTTTTTCACATTTGCTACAACATGACCAAAGACTGTTACTTCAGACTGAGCAACGACCAAGAGACTATCCCAGGATGGCAGAAAGGTGCTTGGAGGACAGAAAATATCTTTCGGAAAGAGGAGCAAGACTGGCAGATGGTTTGTTTCTTTCAGTGGTTTATTTTTTTGAAGATGAAGGAAAATTCCTTTCTTTATTTAACCAATATTAGTGATATATCTATTTTACTGATTTGAATTTAATTATATCATTTAATGTTCAATTTTATTACTTCATTGTTTATCTTGATTTTATATTTATTTTTTATTTTGTTTAATATTAACCTGGTAGTATCATTTGTTTAATTTGTATACTCTTATTTTCCATACATTCAAAAATTTGACAAAGTAATATAGATTTATACAGTACCATTCAAAAGTTAGATTTTTTTAATGTTTTTGAAAGAAGTCTCCTAAACTTGCTCACCAAGACTGCATTTATCTTATCAAAAATACAGTATTATTGTGAAATATTATTACAATTTAAAAGATCTGTTTGGTGCTCAACTAACATTTCTTATTATTACTACAGTAGAAAATGGTTTTGCTGCTTAATATTTTTATAGGTACCATGATAAATCCTCAGGATTCTTTGATGAAACATAGGAATCTTTTGTAACATTATAAATGTCTTTACTGTCACTTTTGATCAATTTAATACATATTTGCTTAATAAAAGTATTAATTTCTTTCAAGAACGAAAAAAATCGTGCTGACCCCAGACTTTTGAACGGTAGTGCATAGGCCATAACATTAAAATAATGATCGACTCATTGTACTTACCAGAATTACAGTATGTGTGTATTCCTACTTTTTGCCCTTTCTATCATATTATCCATTGTCCTAAAGAACACATTTACTATGTGTTTTAATGCATTTAAATGCAGTACTTACTGTGCTGACTCTGTGATTGTAGGTGTATTTGGCACGAACAGAGGGCTCTCCCTTTGGAAGGATAAGCTGGAAATTTAACTGCGCTCCAGTAGGGATGAAGATCAAGTCCACTTCAGTCCGAGCCTTAAGCCAGACCTTCCATTCTGGCAGCGTGCGTTGGAGTTTACACTCCGCCGAGACCACCATAGAGTTCCCTGGAGGTATCAGTCTCGCTGCTTAATGCATCAGCTCTGTGCTTTGTGTATTAGATTAAATCACAGCTCTCTGCTTCAAGAGCTGAAATGGTTTTTAAAAGTAACATCCAATTAAGCTTGATTATAATATCAGTAATGGGTTTTATTTTCACAGATGGTGAACTGCACTCCTCATCAACACTGTCTGGAGGGGAAGAGCTGATTGTGGAGGCGGAGCTCACAGGAGGAGAGGGTGACGTGTCGTGGCAACACACTCAGCTCTTCAGACAGAGTTTAAAAGACACAGAGAAAGTTTTATTTGAAATTGTGGTTGAAATGGAAGAGCCTTGATGAGAGATAAGCATGTACATATCTATCTTATCGGCATGTCTTCTTACTCCGCGCCATGGATGTTCTCTTTTATTTGTTGTCTACTAGCCAGAAATATATCTGGCCAGTAGATGACTCTAGATAACTCTGGCTAGCTGGTCGGTTCTGCAAATTGAACTAATGTGTCAAATAAATGTGATTTTAGATGTGACCAGATTTGGAAATGTATAATTCGGCATTGTTCTTACACAATAATTTATTTTTGAGATTCAGGCATTGCTGTTGTACATTTTTTTAAAACAGACTGTACTGTTCATAAGTGTAATGATATGAGCATTCAATTATTTCATTCTTCAGTTGTACGTAAACCCTTTACTACACTATAATTAGACTGCTTAATAGTAGATGTTACTTTTGTGTTTTTTCTTCTCAATCTCTAGTTTAAAAAAAAATGCTTTTTTTTATTTCCTTTTTTGTTTTTTTAATTAATTTTTATTAAAATTTAGTTTGAATGGGAAATCTAGTAGCACAGTGTGTGACATTCAGTAATTCCACTATCTATAATATTATTAAAATCTAGTAGAAATAATGCAATAATAATATGGAGAAAAGAATTTCATAGCAGGATAAACTGTCACTTATTGACAAGCACTGCACAAACTGACAGCTGGTATGGATGTTATACTTAATATAATTCTTGGCCAATCAGATTAAAGGACTGGAACTAGGCCATATATCTGTCTCTATATCCCATATATCTGATTCTAAAGACTTCATTGGTCATGTCAATCACAAGTCTCGCCCAACTCGTAGCGGAATTATTCCTTTACATTTCCAGTCTCCGGTGTTTCTGGTCAAATTATTGTATTTTCCGAGCCGATAAACGTATTGAAATGGTTTTAAAAACAAATGGCTCCACAGTAAACTTAATTTCTGCAAGCCATGCTCGTTTTCTCTTTTCAGTCTTTGGCATAAAATGCAAGGCAAATGGTGCTGTATACGGACATTCCTTGGTGGTGCTCAATTATCGTTCTTTCCAGAAACTTCTTCAGTTTATTGCTGTTGTTGGCTGCCACAACAACAGCAATAAACTGAAGAAATTTTCAGTCAAATTTTTTGTACTTTTCAAAGTTTCTGTTTAATTCATTTAGTCACTCTTTTTACCTAGAATCCATCATGGTGGCACTCATCGTTTGATAACGCATGGTGGATAACGCACAGGCAGTCGATCATTACTGCAAAATAAACTAATTATAAATCAATAAATAAATGCTGGCATTACTGATTTGAAATTATTTTATTATTTATTGTCTTGTAGAGATCGTGGAGAGACAAAACACAAGCACGGCTATGTAGGAAACAGGTTTCCTGGATGAGTAATAAACTTCCTTTACTTGGCTTTATAGTATTGGAAACACTGTTAAGCTACATAATGATATGCTAGACTAGACCAGCAAATTCTGCACAAATCAAGAAACTCCAGTCTGTTGACTCATTTTCAATATAAATATATACAGACAAATGCATTTTCTGCTTAATAACATACCTAAATTGGTCAGCCAACAAAAAATGTCATCCGATTACTAAGAAAATGATCATTAACAGGTGTAATAACACAAGTAGATGATTGTGAATTTTCTTTGATTTAACAATTTCTATGTAAAAAAAAAAAAAAAAGTGCAAGAACACAAAAAAAGATGTGCAGTTTGTGCAACATTACTCTCTACTGAAACAGTCCAACACAAAAGTAGACATTTCTTTCACATTAGTTGCTCTAAAAATGTAATCATTCTATAAAATATGCTTTAAAAGCAACACAAAAAAAAGTCTTTAAAAGACATACAAAATATGTCTTTCAAAGCAAAGGTACAAAGACCTTAAAATAGCTTTATCCCCCCCATTTCCCCAAATGTAGTACAAAGCCCATCTCTTCTTAAGTATTTCAAAGTACAAATATTTTAGAAAACAACAATAGTACGAGTCATTGCACGTGTCATCTTTACATACAGATGCTGTACGTTCTCATTAGCATATTAAGACTGTATTTGTCACTGCACAGGGAATGCTCCTCTTACACCAATCACGTACACGCTCTGGTAAAGACCGCAAATGTGCGGGTTTCTGATTAGGAATATTCATCGTATGAATACTAGTATTTATCACCATTTCTTTAAGTTTAATAATAAATAAGTGCTGTTTGAAGGTACAACATTAGGTAATTAGAGTCATTTTTCTTGGTTGGTACTATATAAAATATACAGTTTTTCATAAAATCGATCTATATAAACAGATTTTCACTATTATATACACACACTAGCATGACCACATGCACACCAAATGCATACAGCCGTACATACCTCAAAATTGTTCCGCAATTTTGGCAGAAGGAATTTTTAAGACAAGAAAGAGACTTTTTCCACACATGGTGGTCATGCGGATATTCACACACATCAAACACCTGCATTTCAGACAACCCTCCTTTTGACGCAAAACAATGAGGGAGTTATATATGATAAATGTTGAGAAAAAGAGGTAGAGAAAAGGGAGGGGCAAGAGGGAAACAGACTACTTGCGCCCCCTAGCTGGATTACTTGTCGATGAGGCCCGCCTCTTTGATCTTGGTGTAGAAGAATTTCTCTAGTAGGTTGGCACATTTGTAGTATTCGCTTTCGGGAGGGTTGTACTCTCGACAGTTAGTGAAGATCCTCTGCATGTCGGCCATGAACAGCTTCCGAGTGGTGTAATAACGACTCTTCAGGCGCTCGCTCATCGTCTTTAAGTCTACAATGCACAATAACATTCATTCATTTAGGGGTGGGCGATACGTCCCAAATCTTATATCCTGAAATGAGTATTTTTAATTCACGATGACAATATATAGTTCTTTTTGCTTTAAGTAAGGTTTTTATGATATGAGCATTTTTAATACCATTTCATATTCGTGGAATTTCATAAATCTAACAAGTAATAAAACAAGCTTACCGCAGACAAGTAAACAGTGATAAAATAAGAACAAAGAAAGTAATTCCAAGCAATAGGACAAAAACTACAATAAAACCAAAGACACAAATGAAATAGAAATAAGAAATACTACATATTGTATAAAGTAATCAAATGTACCATGTAATAGTATGTACACATATACATTTATTTTGATTAAAGCTACAAAAGTGATTCAGTCAAGATCTAATTTCTTTTGTTGTTTGATTAACATTAATGACAGACGGCAGCAGGTATATTAGGCTGCTGTCACTTTAAGACCTCATGCACTGATCTAGTATACTGTTACACATGCACTTTCTTTCTTATATGTTTACTTTGCTTTCAGTTAAGACAAATGACTGTGTTTACAAGGATACTCTCAAAGAGTTTCAGGTGTGTGCGTCTCTCAGACAGCCTATGCATATACCGAAATGAGTTTTCTTTTGCACTTGAATGGTTTAAAATCACTTGTTTTTAAACCACAAGGATTAAAAACGCATTCAAATGATACGCTTTCGTGACAGCGCAGCACGGCAACGTCATGTGAGCGCGTAATCGCCACAGAGACGATAATCCAAAATGTATGCTGGTTTATCATGTCAACCGGTATATCGTCCCCACCCCTACTCTCATTCATTATACGCTCAAAAGTAAGTGTAAGGTCCAGTGTGTATAAGAGATATTTGCGTACCCATAGGGAAGCGGATGACTTGGTAATAACCAGGTGCCTCGTTCTTCTTTACAGGCTCCATGAAGGGCCATGCATTCTGGTGTGACTGAGGGGTACAATACATATTCCTCATTAGCCATTTATTTTCTTTCATAATTATTGTGCTTGAAACGTAAAGCCAAGCAGATATACATTACCTTGACCTGCTGTAAGATGTTCTTTATGGTGGTGTACAACTGGTCAGGATCCTTCAGCTCTTTGCTGTGAAAATTGACACAAAAAACGAAACATACTTTCAAAACTTCAACAAACTACAAACCAGTTACATAAGATTTGTTTAGCTGTGACTAATAGATACACACTCACCTCTTCCCTAAAGGCTTCCACCCCGTCTCACCTGTCCAAAGACAGAAGTAAATTAAAGTTTAAATTAAATGTATTATTATATATATATATATTCAGTAATATTTACAATAATAATTGATGTTCTTTTGAATTTTCTATTCAAAGAATCCTGAAAAAAATATATCACTGTTTCCACCCAAATGTTAAGCAGCACAACTGTTTTCGACATTGATAATCCGCAAATTAGAATGATTTCTGAATGATCATGTGACACTGAAGACTGGAGTACTGATGCTGAAAATTCAGCTTTGCATCACAGGAATTGGACATTATATTTTAAAATATATTCAAATAGAAAACATTACAAATTTTAAGTTGTATTATACAGTATTTCTGATCAAATAAGCTGCCTTGGTAAGCATAAGAGAACATTAAAAAAATGTTTTACTGAAAATATACATACATATACGTATATTTTGTTAAAATAATAAAATATTTTCAGAATACAATGAATAATATTTGTATAATAAAACATAAAATATTGTATTATCATTATTGTTATTTTTTTAAATATATATCAAAGAGAGACATACGGATTCCTGGAATGCTCTCAATTGCAATCTGGCGAACTCCCTCCTTAAAACAGGATAGGCCAGGGTAGACTTTACGAATCTGCGCTTGCTTGCGCTCTATAAGCTTCTTAATGATCTGAGAGAGAGGGTGAGAAAGACATAGAAAAGCCTTTAAGCGATAACAGAATCATGAATTTGACCATACTGAGTAACCTCTTTGACACATCAGATCTCATCCTCACACACACACACCTCTTTCTGTTTCTTGATGATGACGGAGAACTCAGTGTAAGGGATGCAGGGGTTCAGTTCACAGCCCATGAGCGTGGCCCCCTCATAGTCTTTAATGTAGCCCACATACTTAGACTTCGGCACTTTAATATCCTTAGAGAATCCCTGACATGAAACAAGAGTAACAAAATAAGGATATGGACATACTTAAAGCGACAGTACCCAAAAATGAAATATGTTGTTCCAACCCATCATTGTTTTCCTCTTCTTCTTCTTATTATTATAAAAATATAATAAAACACAAAATGAGATGTTAGGCAGAACCTCCCCATTTTTTTTAATTTTTGGAGCTTGTTAGTATAATTCACCATCCACTGTAGTTGTAATTTGTGCCATGGAAGAAAAATAAAATACCACTGTACTTTTTGTATGGACAAACATTTATCAATAATTGACCAGCTCTCTAAAACAAGTAATAGAGCACTAACCTGCTT